TCTTATAAGATTATGATTTCACTTGAGAGTAGCTTACACATTAATTTTTGTAGTAATATATCTAAAAATACAATTTATTGTAAATAATTAATTTTAATTAATTATTTTTATTTTTTTAAGAAAGATAAAAAACTTAAAATTGCAACACAGCATTAACACAAGATAATGCTATTAAAGGCAAAAGTTTCTAAACTATTAATCTACCAACTAAGGCATCTTCGGGGTGGAGGAAAATTTTAAATTTACGGCAGCTTGCTAGGCGGCTTCTCCAACATGTCTCAGGAGATGGCAAGAATATATATGTCTAGCACGATTTTTGGCACCCATCTAGTCCATTGCTAGATGTCTATGGAAGTTCCATTGTTCAAGATGCAGGACTTCCTTATCAAGCAAAGTTGGCTAGTGTAATCAATGGGAGTTTTTGGCAATGGCCTCCTGCTAGGTCTCCCCAATTGATACAAATACAAATGCATCTTTTAGAGTAGAAAGCATGATTGTTAAAGACATTCAATATTTGAGGTAAGGAGCAAGATTTTGGGTTTTGCTCGGCCAAACTCCTCTTTTCTACCTATGGCTATTGCATGCAAATAGGGTCTTGAAACAGTTTTGAAACATTAACTTTTGCATTGTTCGTACAGTTTTATCATTTTTTTTATAGTTTCTCTTGCTTTGTAGCAACTTATTAGCTACTTTATTGTATAGACAGTTATATTGGATAATAAGATTTACATTTTATCCAAAAAAATGATAATGTTATTAAACAAAACCTATATATTCGTTTCCAAAAAAAAAAAAAAACCTATATATTGTCTCCATTTTAATGTGACAATGAAGTGCGAAAGGATAAACCCCATTAAATCCCAATAAGAATGTTAAATCTTGGTAATTACAATTATCCCCTACCTCGCTAGCGCTTGTTTCAAAGAGCCGAGCTAAATGATGGGATTATTTAATTATATGCCTAGAGCACCCTGGATTGCTAGAGTCCTCCCCCTGTTAGCCCAAGCACGCCTACAAACAAGGCAACACCTTTAAGCCCAAAATTTATCCTAAATTCTCAATTAATCTCCTAAATTTTTAATAAAGCAAATAAATCCTTAAACTTAACAATTTGGGCAATTTAACAGTTTTTCTTTATAGCGAACTTAACGCTTGTTTGTGCATCACTTGTGTAACAGGCTATTGATGTGTTATTACTTATACAGTGGATATTAACTTTGTTCATGCAAGTAAAGCATAAATAAGAATTAAGTTCGCTATAAGAATGATGGTTAAATTACTTATGTCAATAGCACTTGCGGCTTTAGTCACGATGGAAATGCACCAATGCCCTTGGCTTCTTTGTCAAGGGTTCAAGCTGTCAGTGCAGTAGTAGTGTAACTTTCCCCCATCCCCCTATTTCCTTCTGGTCAAAAAAAAAAAAAATTACTTATGTCAATAAGTTAAAGGATTTATTTACTTCAATAAAACTCTAAGAGTTTAATTAAAATTTTAAAGTAAATTTAAAAACTTAACAGAAGGTTCTGCCTATAAACAATCTCCCCTCGACTTCTCTCAAGCTTATTGAAAAATTGGCATCAGTGTCACCAATTCAACAACTCTCAACAACACGGCACCACCATCACTAGCTGCAACAACCACCCAAAGCAATAACACTACATTGACTGGAGTGGACCCACGAAACTCCTGAGCTAAAAAAAGAAGAACGGCCGTGGAGGAAATGCAAACAAACCCATTTTATTTCTAGAAATTGGGGGAGACAAATTGGGGCAAATTGGTTTCACGTGGGAAGAATATTGAGGCAAATTGAGAGACA